AAAAATATCCATAAAATGTACAAATACTGAAATGTATTAATATAACCATAAACAGGCCCAGCTAAATGCAGCATGGCATAGACTGAATAGGAAATTTTACCTGGTTTGTTGTTTTCTAATAACTCACTGCACAACATTTTTGGGGGGTTGGCACAAACCATACTTATGCAAATAAACTCATATGTCAAGAAATGGAAATTGGGGTCTTTTCTCCCCTATTGTGACATATCCAAATGAAACAGCTTCTTGAACAAGAAAAAAAGGTAGGACAAGACTCAATTTTATCCACAAGGGAATTGACTGCATCGTTGTCATTTGGTAATTGCTGCAATGTTCATTACAATTAATTAAGAATTGTCCATTTTGATTTCATGAGTCTGGGTGTTTTTTTTTTTTTGAGGCTGAGAGGATGCAAAAGAACCTGTTTGTATCTGACTAATTTGACTACCTTTAGCTAACTGACAAGAATTTGTGCCTATATACCAGGGGTGGCGAACTCCGGTCCTGGAGAGCCGCAGCCCTGCAGAGTTCAGCTCCAACCTTAATTAAAACTCACCTGCCTGTAGCTTCCTAATAACCCCTCAGACCTTGATTAGCTTGTTCAGGTGTGTTTGATTAGGGTTGAAGCAAAACTCTGCAGGGCTGCGGCTCTCCAGGACCGACATTTGCCACCCCTGCTATATACCATGGATTTTGATTAGTAACTGCATTCTGGCCTCACCTTTAAAGGTTAAAAAGACATTTTATTTTGTTATTCTAATTATGCATGATCATAAAGTTAGTTGCATTTTATTATATGAAATTAACACTGATTTTACCTTGCTCTTTCGCAAACCAATCAGAACAGACCTGTAACCAGGGCGAGAACCAATGATTTAGACCATTACTGTATGTGTGTGTGTCAGCTAGACTCACCAACATCTTTCTGCAGGTTTCTTCTGGTTTCTTTATATCTGCATCCTGAAATGAGCAGAAATTAGGGCTGCATGATAAATCAAAATAAAAGTGACATCATGTTATGGATTATTGCGATTATTCAGGGTGAACCACGGCACTGTGTTCATTTACACACAAGTAGCTCATGATCCAGGGTTTCAGTTTGTTTTAAATTAGTACTGGTATTGTAATTTTACAGTTGTACTGTAAAATAGTTATTTTTAATTCTTATTATACTTGTTTTTTTTACAAGCGTAGCAAACATGGAGCAACATTTTATTTAATTATAAAAAAAACTTTGTCAATTTATTTCCCCAAATCATGCAGCCCTAGCAGAAATGTTTATTAATATTTATGAAATGAGCACACAAAGCACAAAGAGACAATTCAATCGTTAATTTTACCAGGTAAGGAACAAATGCCAAGAGACTGGGAACACTCCACCACTGACAGAGACAACCTGCAAAACACGCACACCACAAATCACTCTCAATCTATGAATATTTCTCCAGCTGTTGAGTGTGTATATGTATGTTTTGCTTACCATGAGATCTGAAAAGGTGTGGCTTCCACTTCACCAAAGTCCTCTTCGTCAGATGAATCAAACTCACTTGTCTTCATTGCCCCAGTCTACCATAGACACAAGTGTAATGAAACCAAGATCATTATTCAACCCCGACACTGACATATGAGAGCTGAATGTGGAACTGCTATCCAAACAGCAGCTTGTTCTTATGGCTTTGCTTATCATGTGGGAGTGAGAAATTTAGACGATTTCAGTGTAAATGTATGAAAAATAAAAGTTTAATATGCTACGAGACATATAACAGGCTTATATATATATTCTCGTTTGCATAACTAATTATATTTACGCATTCGACGCCTCGAAGTTATTCAAAAGAAGCATTAAACTGCTACATAGAAACATAAAGTTATAAACAACAGAGAGATCAACAACCGAACTCACCGACACACCGCTCCGTACTGCGCACGCGCGGTTATTTTAAAACATACTTACAAGACTCGTCCAATCACATTGAACGTGTTTGAAACCACGCCTCTTTTTGTATAAGACACGCCCTCTCGCTTAATCTGAGAATTAAATATTAATGAGACGTACGCTCGTTATTTTTTTCAGCCTTTTCGGAGTGGGCTACTACAATGTACGTATTTATTTAGAGGTGTAGCAGACAAGTAATATCTGGGTTACTGAATAAAATATTTTTGACCCAAGTTAAAATAATCACAAAAGCACTTACAGAGCCCCTAGCAATCTCAATTCATTCTAGACCTCTGATATGTGAGTGGAATATTAAACTGCTCTTTTGCTGACTGTGCAGGAGCGCGTGAGTGAACGTTCCCGAGACACCGGACGGCGCGCGCAGTCCGTGTTCCGTCCCTCCTCTCCTACCGCATGCGGTCAGACAGACGCAGTGCACGACACCAGATATACCGGACACCGGGACACGAGAGCGCAGGGAGAGAGTGAACTACAAAAACATGAGGCCGTCACTATGTCACAGGAATGGAATAACATTTAAACTTAAAAAGAAATCTTGAAGATTTTCTCTCTGGTAAGTGAGCGCACGCTGCGCATACGGTCAGATTTCTTACTATTAGTATTATTAATAATAATAGCCTTAGTTTGATTATTAAGATTTGTGTTTATGAATAGGCTGCTGCGGCATTTTTGGAATGACTTTTGTGTCGTTTTCAGGCTGCTACTTGCATTTTTGATGAGCTACTTAGTCTTACAGGCTTTTAATTTACAAGACTGTTTTAGAAAAGTGAAGATTATGGAAATACATTTGAGAAACATTTATAAATATTTTTCACTCTCTGTTGTAGGGTGGAGCTCTTTGGCAGGTATCTTTTCCCCCACCTGGGATTCGCTGACAGGGCGACCAGCTCTAGGTAAAAACATAAGCGCGCGTTGGATTCACATTTAATAGAAACAGTGTTTTTATACGGAGCTGATGATACATACAACACTCGCACAACCCCTGCGTTTTACATGATCTTTACAACATTATTTATTATGTTTGTTACGTTTTGTTCTCAGGTAATGGGTGGTTTCAGGTTTTCTTATTCGTGTGATGACAAATTTGGTTAAGATGATCATGGATAGCTTTCTATCTTTGTAGTGACTAACTTGTTAAAAAATTGATAAGATGATCATAAGTTACTATTCTTGTAATGACTAACTTGTTAAAAATGGATAAGTTGATATTGGCTTACTATTCCTTTGGTGACTAACCTCTCAAAACAACATACAATGGATAAGATGATCATAGTATTCTTGTAGTGAATAAAACACATAAAATGGGCAAGATGATCATAGGCCTAGTTTACTATTCTTGTATAGTGACTAATTAAAAAGATTAAATAAGATGACCATGGCTGCTAAGCAAGCATCAGACAAGAACTGAACTGTTGTGCATCTTACTACACCAACATAAATCTCCGCGGTCGATCACCTCTCAAAAAAAGCATCTCAACAGAGAATGTTTTCAAGCCTTTGAGACTGTTAAATGATGTTTGTTTATCCTCACACAGAAAATGAAATCTCATGAGGGAGAACTGGAGAGAGAGATCTCTAAGGTAACGAACACACACAGACTTTCTTCAACAGGTTTGAGAAATAACAAGAAACTTATATAAGCATTGTAAACGTTATGTGTCTGTTAAAAATACATTTTGAATTGGTGTGTGTAATTACTTGTGATTACTAGGCCTGAAAAAGTCATGGAAATGAATGCAAGTGTTAAAATCATGGACATTTCTAGCTATTCTCAGTTCTAAAATATTAAATTGGAGAGAAATTGTTCTTTGACAGTGCAAACTGCATAAAATGATTTAAAATCAGTCTCATTTGATATGTTGTGTTCAGGTTCAGGGCATGGTGTGTGAGTTGCGGGCAGGGTTTTCTCGTGCGCTGCTGGCGCTGAATCAGATTCAGCAGGGAGACACTGAGCTGCAGAGCCAGCTGGAGGACACAAGACATGGCTGCAACAAGCGCACCCTTCACCTAGAGAGTCTGGTGCTGTCCCTCAAGGTGAGATCACACACCTGGCTAGTAAATCTGTTCTGGAGCCTATGTGTTTGTCAAAGTTATGTTTTTGTGTCTGTCTCTTTAGGAGGAGCTGGAGGAGGTACGCTGTCAGTTTCGTCAACTCTGTGAGGCACAAGACAGAAAACCACCAGAGAATCCAGGAATAGAGAAGTACACACACACACACACACACACACACACACACACACATGCACAAATTTAAAGTATGACTGAAACTGTTATAGTGTGTGTGTTGATTTGTGTATGTGTGAATGCAGTAATGGCGTGGATGACAGTAGCGGACAGAGTAATGGTGCTGCAGAGGCTCCTCCCCTCTCACCTGTGGGCGGAGATTTCCTCATACACTGTTACCTGCAGGGATTACAGGTGTGGCAATGGGCCAGACAGAATACAGGTGAGCTTTCGCTTTTTGGGTAAAAAAAACAAACAAATAAAAACATTAAAAACGTTTAAAAAAGGGTTTCAAAGTTTTTGAAAACAATACAGACTACAAAAACACAAATTTATGAAAACAATGATGTCATGTGCATGCAGATTACCTGTTCAGTCTATTGGAATGCATATGTTTGCAGGTGCATAGTGTTTTTTTTTTGTTAAAGTGACATCGCCAACTACTGGCATGGCATGCCTAATACAGCATTTGTAATCGTTTTCGCGGATCTGTGAAAACTGGGACCATTTTGACAACATTGTCGTCTGTATACGTAACTTTTCAAAAACATAAAGGAAAGACTTTTCTGTTTTTAGTATAATCGTTGTTGTGTAAACATACCCTAAAATATATCATATATTTAAATATATGTTAAAGTTACACTATGTAACTATTTCTGTTCGAAATTAACAAAATGTTAATAATGAGTGAGAACAACTTAAAACCATCCTCCAAACAGTGTTTCGTCCTTAAATCCCTATGGTAAGCCTATAATAATTGTTTGTATTTTAGAGTTGTTGGGATGAATTTCCCAATTAAAGGCATACTTTCATACTTCTTCTGTGTGTTTTTTCTTGTTTTTGCTTTGTCTTCCTATTGTTTTCATATTTGCTAAAGGTAATTACTGAACAGTAGTCTGACCAATAGTGTGGAGGCATTGTACATAATCAACCAATCACGGCATGTGACCTAGAGAAAGTAGTCAAACAATGCAAATATGCATATACATATATTACACTGTAATCCTCATTATATGTATATGCATAAATCATATGTATATGCATTGTATGTATATATACATATAATGCATATACATATAATTTATACATATACATATAGTTTTATGCTTCAGCCACTAGATGACCAAAAATTACATAGTGTAGCTTTAACATATTGAAAATGTTAAATAATAAATAATATGTGGTAGAAATTAAATGTGGGGAAGTAAATGATAGTAAAAATCCTTAAAGTGTGCAGTCACAGTACAGCTGATTTTGTTTACTGTTTCTGGTGCAGATTCTCTTTCCTGCCATGTCCCACACAGCTGCCTGCGGCGGGGTAAATAGTCTGTTCTCAAAGCCTTTTAACTGCTCAATATTCACCTGTGGATCCTCATGTCTCTCTGTCTCTTTGTGTCAGGCAGGAGGCGGGGTGTGGTGGAGATGCTGTTGCGGTCTGAACGCGATTATGTGTCTAGTTTGAATCAGCTCTATGAGAAATACAAATCTGCTGAGCAAAAGTAGAGAACTACAATCATTATCACTATTTCATGTCATCTCTTTATCTCTGTCTGTACCACACACTATAACAAGTGTATTTGTGTGCTTCTGAGGCAGTGTGGCATTTGTAAAGCATATTGATCAGATGCTACAGCGCCACCTGCTCTTCCGCAACACCCTAGAAGAACAACTGACCATGGATGAGAGAAGCTGTGCTGCAGGGGATGCTTTCCTCAACCTCACTGGACAGAACAATGTAATGCCATTTACTACTAAAATAATCATATGTAATCCTTTATTAAATGAATCAAAAGTGACATTGATTAAAGACTTTTACATTATTACAAAAAATTCTAATATAGAATGCCGTTTTTGAACCTTCTATTCATCAAACAATACTAAATTAATATCACATTTTTACAAAATTGTGAAGCATTGATAATAAATGTTTCTTGAGTAGCGAATCAGCATATTAGAATGATTTCTGAAGGATCATGAGACACTGAAGACTGAAGTAATGATGCTGAAAATTCAGCTTTGCATCACAGGAATAAATTACATTTTAAAATATATTAAAATAGTAAACAGTTATTTTAAATTGTAGTAATATTTTACAATATCTGTTTTTATACATTCATTGTTTGTCCTTATGCAGAAGTCTTTCTCTGATGCATATCTTGGATACGTGGCCAGTCTGGGAACTCTCCTGAGAACAGAGATCAGTACAACTTCACCCCACAGCAATTCACAAAATGCACAGGCAAGAACTTCCTTTTCCATGTTATGAAAGATGCTTAAGCACACAGTGATGACTGTGTCTAGCTCAGCAGTAGTAAAAGTTTTGCAAATAAGCCTACAGCAACCAGGCCCACTTACATCTAAATTCACATATAAGTCTATTGATTTTTACTTTTGCATAATATTGGTTTCATGTGTTTATTTATGTTTTTCGGCTAGGAGGAGAAAGAGAGCTTCAGATTGCTTTCACTACTATTCGCTCCTGTTTCCCGCATCCACACAT